GCATGATCTTAACTTATTGTATGCTTGGTCAAATTCCAATAGCTTGCCATTCAATCTGGATAAATGTCAAATTGTAATTTTTACCAATCATCAAGAGCAACTATCATTTTGGGAATACGACCTTGAGTCAAAGTTCATGTGAAAAGGACCTGGGCATCTACATCAGTAGCAGCTTGTCATGGAGTGAACACATTACTTCAAAATGCACAAAAGCGAATAAAATTCTAAAGATGATTCAACGAAACAGTGCCTCCAGTCTTTCTGTTAACTCAAAACTACAGTTATACAAATCCATGGTTGTACCCATTATTACCTATGCATCACAAATTTGTTGTCCTAAAAAAACTGAGATGAAAGTGATAGAAAGTGTTCAGAGGCGTGCATCAAACTGGATACTTGGTTTAAAGACAAAAGTTATTATCAAAGTCTTGACTTTCTAAGTCTTCTTCCTTTGAGTTTATATATGCAATTGAATGATCTGCTGTTCCTATCGAAAGTTTTAATGAGTAAATACGACTTAGATTGGACAAATTAATTGTCGTGTACGTTCAACAATCCTTATCCTGCTCGCAACGCCCCACTATTCAATGTTGAGAACACACGTCTATTGAAAACTTCCAAAAACTTATGGCATCGAACACCGAAATTGGCCAACCGTCTTCAACATTGGGTAAACTTCAACCAACCTGAAGCGCTGAAGCAAAGACTCCTCAAACTTTTTTGGGCCTACTTCAAAGAACGTTTCGATGTAATGACTACATGTACCTGGAGAATAGCTTGCTTATGCTCTGCGTGTAGAGAAAGTCATGTTGATTTAAACTCTTTAGTTTGCTGACTTTCGGGGTTCGGGTCCCTTCATTTTGTAAATTCATAATAATAATAATAATCATAATAATAATAATAATAATAATAATAATAATAATATCGTTTTCCTTATTTTTCGAATGATGCGAAAGCTGGCTAGTAAATTGCTGTTTGAGAAGCTTAACTGAGCCTTCAATTTAATTTCGTTGAAAAGCTTACTCAATGCTCAATTGAGTAAATAGTTTTTGTTTAGTCAGTAGGTGCACATGATGGTTCTTGAAAGGGCTGACGAGCTCAGTCGATGTTTAATTGTGTCTGCTATTCTCGACACTACTAGTCGTTTTCAGACATTTCATATGTAATGTATTTGCTGTGCTGATTTTAAATTGACTGAAAGTTTTCTGGCTAAAGTGTCTCGCCTTAAATATCGATCTTAATGATCTGCAAAAGCTAAATGACATGGAAGCATACGAATTTCAATAATTGGATTTATAAATATAATTGAGATATAAATGACTGAACAACTGTCTAAAGTACCAAAAAAAGGGGAAAGGAGTTGTGCGAAAAGCAAATTGCTAAAAAAGCTATAGCAAATAAACAGAACTTAACTAACACGAAAAGATGATATAATCACATTGCAAATCAAAATTTTTTATAAGTGATTAAGTAATAGTTTCAATAGGCAAATAATTTATAGGTGGCGAATTGTCGCGCTTTATATATTATAATTATAATTAGTCACCGGCCTGCTCAGTGCAGGACCAACCGTGGGGGAGGGGGAGATGTCATCCATTTCGCAGCAGCAGGTCCCATCTTGAGGAGGCGGATGACACTGGGACCCCTCCAGCCGTGACCGAAGCGGGATTCAAACGCATGACCCTCGTGTTGAGAGACATATGCCTAACCCACTCGACCACGGCTGCTTAATTGTCGCGCTTTCATAATTGTTCCAAATGGATATCAGGCAAACGCAATTGCCCATTTAAATCCCATTTACCTATCAAAATTTAGTTCTTGATTATTGATATAGGCTTGATATTTTAAAATTTGATTTACCAAAAACTATTCGAAACCAGGCAAGGGGCAGTCGACCATTCACAATTTTGCCCTGATTTACGAGCAGTCTTGTTTCTGCCTAGTAATTGATGCCAGCGTTTTTGCCGTGAAAGCGTTTGTTGATCATGGATTAATTTTTGAAACAGATATTGCTAATTTTTATGATATATTGGATCTAATTACACGAGCGTAGCGCAGTGTGATAGTACTATGCTATTTTGTTACTAACTCAAATCGCAATTTTAAGCATTACTTTTAGTGACACTATTGAATTAGTAGACTGCATTAGCAGTTATAATAACATGTGCTTCTTAAATTCATCAATTGCACCAGAAAAGCTATTTATTTTATACCCATTTCAGAAATTTTCTACCTCAGTATATTTCGTGAGATTTTCAAAAGGCTTAATTCATAATTTAATAGATGCATAGTTGTTGTAGTGGCCCCTAGTTAATTACATTCCAAATTATTACATGCAAAATTTGAGTTTTTGTGCATTTTAAAGCTTTTGTTCATGTGAATATTTGCCGCTTTCTCGCTCGTGTTTGGGAAGTTGCAGCTTCGCCTCTGCGTTAAAAATTTGTATTGCTGCTTTGCTTTTCTGAGTGGCAAAAGTGTCCAGCTTCACGTTTTTGTGATTCAACAGTTCCCATATGCTCCCTTATTCAATTGCTAAAATGAAATAGAATAAGTATATGGGAGATATTTTTTTAATAGAACCAAATCTGCAGCGATGAAATTCTGTGTCAATTGTGGGATACATTTTGTGTAAATTGGTTAAGTTGAGCATAGCAAATGAGACGACAATCAGATGAGCCGCGACCCCAAACGGCGCATTTACAAAACTGCGATCATTAGAAAATAGACGCTTATTGTTCCAACTTTTGTAAAAAAAAAAAAAAAGTAACGGAATATTTGTGCTCGGGTGGTTTTTCTCCAGACTTGTTAACCAGCTTTTTCTGACGGATTTTTTTTATCATTCAAACGGTAGTGTTGTCTTGAGCTTAAATTTGAAAAGATATTGTCACCTGTGGTCGTTTTTTGTAAACGTTATGGGGGTTTAAAGATTGCCATTTTGGACAATTTGGGACAATTAACGCGCGATATATTTCGCCGCTCTATTAACGCGTAAGCGGAGATTTAATACGTCCAGAAATTGATCCAAATTGGTTGAAAAAATTTTTTGGTCGTAATTGATTTGTTACTAGGAGCTATATCTATCACTTCGTACTTTATATTGCGTGTGGGGGATGATTTTCACAAAAAAATCTCAAATTAAAAAATTCGTTTCATTGTTTTACACTCAAGATTTTCATGTTATTACTGCTCCATAGACCTTTAAAGGTATTCGGAAACTTCAGAGCTTTGCCCTGATACTAGCAGTCTTGTTTTTGTTTGGTGTTGTTATCGCGTGTGAAAAGTCTTGATTTGAATCAAAGAAACGGTTATAGAAGTTATCATCATATTCGGATTTGATGTTTTTTGTATTGTTAATATAATTAGTTTTGATCAGCTTGGAGATGGTAAAAATTTGTAATTGTTCAATTTTTTCTGAATAAAGAATTTTTTTGAGGTTGACCAAGGCCATGGTGGTAAGATAGACAAACAAAGTCGTCATTGATTGCTCAGTTGTGCTCAAATTGAACAAAACATCAGCCTGTTTTGTAGTCGCGTATTAATACATCTGAAGTCTTAACACAGGCGAAATACAAACTAATGGGTACCCACATGTCAAATTACATGACCAAAAGCATCAGCAGTATAATATATTTGAAACACTTGAAGCGAAGTTTGCCATCATTTGCGACACAAAAAACAGCTGCTATTTAAAATATATCTTCAACTGGTAAGCCCGCAACAAGCATCAGATCTTAAAAAGCGGTAATTAGTTAAAGAAATGGGACGTAATCTGATGGTATATCAAAATAGGATAAAATATGTCAATTTTTTCATGTGCGAAATCCTGTCGTTGAACAAAATCTCGTTGCTCCCAGTTTACATATGACTTTAAGAAATAGTGGCTGACTTTGAAGATATGAATTCGCAACTTTCTGCAACTATGTCAATGATTTCATATTCGATTTTTTTAATTTTAGTTGCTGAAGCGAGTTATTTCACTTCTGGTTGATGTTGTCATAAAATGTATACGGACCCTGAAAAACAGAAATATTGGCCAATTTTTAGTGATATAAGTAATTTGCGCTTATATAGACCTTTTTGAGGCAGGTTGATTAGTTTTTATAAAGAAGCATCCTCAATTTACTTTAAGTAGCTCCTCACACTGAGAAACAAATAAAAGAAAGTGTCACAGAATGGTCTCAGGGACTGTCTTTCCAAGGAAAATCTATCAATTTATTTGCTAGTAATTATTGGGCTGTCTAAAAGGTACGCTGATGTTTTGTGCCTTAGTGTTTGGTTTTAATGAAATTTGTTATCGATTTAACAGTAATAAATGCTGGTATGACACCATGTGTTGTGACATTTTATGATAAATAAAAATAGAATGTTTTGTTTTGATTACGCTTCCTAATTGAGTTCCTAAATTTGATAGCTTTATAGACTAATGCAAATATTTTCTCCGATTCATTTTGCCCTTTTCAATTATTCCTTTTTAGCTATTTTAGTAACTGTTTTATGTTTTGCAACTACATTTGTTCATTTTTGATGTTTTGTAGTTTTATGGCTTCATCTTGGGGGCATTGTTATGATACTGAGAACTGACCCAAAAGTGGCGTTATGTTCCCGAGGAGTTTAACTAAGGGATATATGTCTTAAAAAGGTTGAAAGGGACATACTAGGTTTCTTCTCCAAGAACTTAGTCCGAAAAACAATTACAGTTTTTCTTCAGTATTTTGTTTCAATGCGATTGGTGGCGATGGCATTGATTTGTGTAGTGTTTTAAACAATTTCGGTACAGTAACGATGATTAATATAAATAAAAAAAATCGATAGTTTTCTGTTAGTATCCGAAGCACCAGATATTGCAATAGTATCATGTCAATCGATGAATAGAATAAATTGACATCATCGGTTCTGCCGATTCAGAACTCCAGATTCCTTAGAACCGGCATCAATTAATGGTTTACTGTTAATTTAGATGTAGTTTATTTCTGATTGGTGATTGTGTCTTCTCTGTTTAGCCGTTCGAGTATGCCAATCTGAGCATATTGCACATGAGGCAGTATCTTTGGATGTCGTGGGTGGTCCCGGGACTCTATGTGCTGGTGTTCGACTCCCTCACCCTCTGTTTCTACGAGACACTCTCGCTCAACAAATGCACTCCGAGAGCCGACCAGTTAGTAGCCTCTTTATTGCTTGTGCTTTAAAAATATCATACTTTTAAAATCATGCGCTTAAAAATCATCAATTTAAAAGTCATACTTAATAGAGTTATACATAATTTAGTTTTGCGTTATACTTGATTTTATACTTCATTTGGTTTTACTTAATTCATTGTTTAATGTTTAAAAAATTAGTTCAAATTATTTTTGGGCAAATTTTTTGCATGTTGAATTTTGGTGCTTGAACAAAAGCGCGGGAGATTTTTTTTAAAATGTCATAGTTAAATTCAAATTTGGAGCTTGGTTTTTCCTAAATTTATTAAGTCCTCCCTATTTATTTTGTAAATGATTTGAATGAAAGAGTCCAGTTCTTTACAACCCCCCACCCCACACCACCTCGCACGAGCTTCAAATTTATGATGTAACGAGTGGTTTTACATGGTTAATTATGCTTACAAATTAAGCTTGGAATCGCCTAATTAGTCAGTGTGTCTAATTTTTGATAGCAACCTGACATTAAGAACAAAAATTATGGTAGAAAAATTTTGCTGGTCGGGGTGCCAAGAAGCCCTTACGTCTTAAAAAAATGAGGTAATACCGTCATTGGCAAATTCTTAGCTTCTGCGTATGAATGGAAGACTTTTTGAAAGAGGCGCTTGCATTGAGCAATTATCACAAGTAAATGCACCTATCCAACTGATATGATAACATTGTTTCGTCTCTAAATGCTTAATCTTTAAAAAACTCAACGGTTTCTAAAGATTTAAAATCAACAGTTGAAGTGTGAAAAACTGGATGATAATCTACATTGGTTTGCTCTCATGATGTTATCTCGGCTTAAGAGTACTTGCCATTTTTATATCTGACATTTAATTGACTATGGATTTGAGTTTTTAATCACTAGGTTTGGGGAAATCCGATAATGTCACGATAATGCGAATGAGAACGAAAAAATTTTAAAAGTAGCAAGTGGTGTTTTTGGATAACGTTTACTTCAGAACTATGTGAAATAATCAGTTAATCACATTCTGATAACGATAATTTGAAGATGCAATAATCGATCACCTGACGGGAAAATGTCTACAATTATCACACTAGCGTACTGACGCTAATAATGTTTGATTTAGAATAAAATATATTGCCATCACTGTAGATCGGTGCTATCAGGCTTAGTTTCAAATTTTGAACTAGTTTACTCGCCACCTAGAAAGTGTTTCTATAATCACATTCACATCGCATACGATGAAAAATGGATTTTAATATTAAAAATGTAATTATAATATTAATTACCCGAGAGATAAGCAGAAGGGTTTTGCACTCATGTGCTAGACTTTTTTCCCGTAAATAACTTTGTTCATAGGATTCATTTCATCTTCTGGACTCCTTCATCTTCTGATATGCTCAATTGGTGGAAATTCGAATTCAACTACAATAATTTAAGTAGTAATTAGGTAAAGCCTGTTTCAGGTTGTAGTTATTTTTTCAAAAAATTCTCATTTTTTTCGGGTTCAATCAGGGGCGGATCTAGGATTTTCTCGAGGGGGGGGCGGATTTTCAAAAATTTTTACCAATTTTTTTTTCAGGTCGATCAGATTGATTTTCCGAGCTCTGCCAAAGCGGTAAAAAGACCCTGTTTTGGCCAAATTTTCTGCGCCGCAGGGAATTTTTTGAAAAAACAGGACAAAAAAAGCCGTTTTTGGGCACTTTTTGGAAAATTTTGACAAAAAAACGCGTTTTTTTTTGCGCGCGCTCCCCCTCAAAATTAGTATATATTGGCGCCAAAGGCGCCTTTAGAAAAATTTTAGGGTCGATCGGCCAAAATTGGATTTCTTAAAAAGTACCAAAGGGGGGACCCTTTGGGTTGGCAGGGGTTCGAATCCCTGAGGGGGGGGGGGGGCGTCCGCCCCCGTCCCCCCTAAATCCGCCCCTGGGTTCAATATATTCTCATTTATTTTTCGTTTCTTTAAATATTTAAACAATTTCAGTTTATATGGTATCGGCTCATTCAACTTATAGTGCATAATTTCGAGGGCAAATATATTAGCATGCGATTATGTGTTTAGTTTGGAATGGTCGTCAAAGGATTTCTAAACTTATTACCCTTTGCAAGGAATTGCAATCGGGTACTAGACTTTTTTTCCGTAAATAATTCTGTTCACAGAATGGTCAAAGTTAGTAATGGTAAATTTAGGCTCAGTTCATAATTAATTCATATTTTTTGCGTCTCCGGCACAATTGGTGTGGAAGTAGCGGATACGCTTGGGACGGCAAATGTCTTGGGTTGGAATCTGACAGGGCCTGTTTTTCTTTTTCAAACGGGAAATATTCCGTTTCAAAAAAAATGTCGGCGTATTTTTTGTCTGCTTATGTTTTGTCGGCTTTTTGCCACATCCTAGAGTTATGTTTTTCACTGTACGCAAGTTCTATTTAGTTGCTTTTTAAATTTTGATTTTTTTCTGCATTTTTAATTGTACCATCCTTGACTTCGTACTATTTGTTTGTTTTTAACTGTTGTTTGTTTATAACTTTTTCTGCTGAAATTATTTTATCTTGTTTTGTATGGGCTTAGTGACCTGGTTTTTTGAGGTTTTAGGGAAAACGTATTTTTTTGCTCCGCTCTGGATTGCTCAAAATGTTCAAATTTTTCATAGAATTTATAGTTTTTCATGACAACAATTTTTTTTCGTGTTTTTTTGTTTATTTGTTCTTTTCCTTCTTGTTCTGCTTGATAGGTTTCGATCCTTTATAAATCGGCTTAAGTGCCTCATATTGCGTCTTATGAGATGCAAAAAAGTTTTGATGTGTGTGTGTGTGTTTTGAGGGTGAGGAGGACTAATTAACTGTTTATTATTCATAATTTTTTGAGATTCTTTCCGGCTTTTTTGTAATTTTTTTCCGGCTTAATAGGTTTCGGCTTATTTTAAATCGGCTTATTGATCTCATATTTATTCGTTTGACGGGCAAATAATGTTTTGGGTGTTTGTGTTTTGAGGGTGAAGGTGACTTAATAATTCATTTTGATAGATCTATTTTTTTCGACATATTTTTCATGACAAAATAAGAAAGCCACATGACTTAGCGGCTTTCTTATTTTGTATCGCAACTGGTGCAAAGCTCAGCTTCGCCTCTGTGTGAGTTTTTTATGACAACAGTTTCGCTTTCGGTGCAAATAGTTTTCGATCCAAAAACTGTTGCCGTTCGGTTATGAACTTCTTTCTATACAACCTTGAAGTTTTTGTAGCTGTAACTTTTTAGAATTTTTTCAACTTAATTTTTTTAACTTAATTTTCAAGGTAATTTCAACTTAATTTTTAGAAATTTTTTTAAGTTATTTTTCAAAGAAAATTTTATTGATTTTGATACGAAGGTATTGATAGGAAACAATTGATTTACCATTTAGAGCACTACGATCAGAATTTAAACTGATGAAAATGCTTTGATCCACATGATTTAATAGAGCAACGTTTTATTCTGTTATGTGAAGCTGTTTTTTGCAACTGGGCTTTTCAACCTAAAAAGGAGGAGGAGGAGGGGCATTAGTTAACTGGTAATCAGCTGCATATTTTAAGTATCATCAAAAGGCAATCAGGCTTAGTTTCAAATTTTGAACTAGTTTACTCGCCACCTAGAAAGTGTTTCTATAATCACATTCACATCGCATACGATGAAAAATGGATTTTAATATTAAAAATGTAATTATAATATTAATTACCCGAGAGATAAGCAGAAGGGTTTTGCACTCATGTGCTAGACTTTTTTCCCGTAAATAACTTTGTTCATAGGATTCATTTCATCTTCTGGACTCCTTCATCTTCTGATATGCTCAATTGGTGGAAATTCGAATTCAACTACAATAATTTAAGTAGTAATTAGGTAAAGCCTGTTTCAGGTTGTAGTTATTTTTTCAAAAAATTCTCATTTTTTTCGGGTTCAATCAGGGGCGGATCTAGGATTTTCTCGAGGGGGGGGCGGATTTTCAAAAATTTTTACCAATTTTTTTTTCAGGTCGATCAGATTGATTTTCCGAGCTCTGCCAAAGCGGTAAAAAGACCCTGTTTTGGCCAAATTTTCTGCGCCGCAGGGAATTTTTTGAAAAAACAGGACAAAAAAAGCCGTTTTTGGGCACTTTTTGGAAAATTTTGACAAAAAAACGCGTTTTTTTTTGCGCGCGCTCCCCCTCAAAATTAGTATATATTGGCGCCAAAGGCGCCTTTAGAAAAATTTTAGGGTCGATCGGCCAAAATTGGATTTCTTAAAAAGTACCAAAGGGGGGACCCTTTGGGTTGGCAGGGGTTCGAATCCCTGAGGGGGGGGGGGCGTCCGCCCCCGTCCCCCCTAAATCCGCCCCTGGGTTCAATATATTCTCATTTATTTTTCGTTTCTTTAAATATTTAAACAATTTCAGTTTATATGGTATCGGCTCATTCAACTTATAGTGCATAATTTCGAGGGCAAATATATTAGCATGCGATTATGTGTTTAGTTTGGAATGGTCGTCAAAGGATTTCTAAACTTATTACCCTTTGCAAGGAATTGCAATCGGGTACTAGACTTTTTTTCCGTAAATAATTCTGTTCACAGAATGGTCAAAGTTAGTAATGGTAAATTTAGGCTCAGTTCATAATTAATTCATATTTTTTGCGTCTCCGGCACAATTGGTGTGGAAGTAGCGGATACGCTTGGGACGGCAAATGTCTTGGGTTGGAATCTGACAGGGCCTGTTTTTCTTTTTCAAACGGGAAATATTCCGTTTCAAAAAAAATGTCGGCGTATTTTTTGTCTGCTTATGTTTTGTCGGCTTTTTGCCACATCCTAGAGTTATGTTTTTCACTGTACGCAAGTTCTATTTAGTTGCTTTTTAAATTTTGATTTTTTTCTGCATTTTTAATTGTACCATCCTTGACTTCGTACTATTTGTTTGTTTTTAACTGTTGTTTGTTTATAACTTTTTCTGCTGAAATTATTTTATCTTGTTTTGTATGGGCTTAGTGACCTGGTTTTTTGAGGTTTTAGG